CGAGCTGGGGCCGCTGCTGGAGGAGAAGGGGGACCAAGGAGCCGCCGGCTCGGCCACTGTAAGTTTTTCCCTCGCCCCCCCCCTCCCCGCTCACCGGAGCCCCGGTGGGCCCCCGCTCCTCCCCCCCGGGACTCCCCGTTCCGTCCTTGCGGATTAACCCGGGAATTTGCCCCTTATCCCGTTAGCAGCTCGGAGGGAGAGGGGCGGCTGGGTTGGTTTTGTGGAGCCCCGGGGATGGTCCCGGTGCTGTGTGGGTGCAGAGCGGCCGTGAGGGGAGGGAGAGAGAGTCCGGCTGGTCCCGGCACCGAGCTGCCCCCAAAACTTCTCCCCTGGAGCAGGCGTGGGGCTGGGGGGGCCGAGAGGCACCGTCCCTCCCTGCCAGCCCTGCGGGTTGGGGTGAAGGGGGTGTTTGAAGGGGGTGTTCTCAGCCTCAGGGCTGGAAATGTGGCCAGTTCTGGGCTCCCCGGTTCCTGAAGGATGGGGAGCTGCTGGAGAGGGGACAGCAGAGGGGACAGAGATGATGAGGGACCTGGAGCATCTCTCTGATGAGGAGACACCAAGGGACTTGGGGGTTTTGAGTCTGGAGAAGAGAAGGCTGAGGGGGGATCTGATCAACACCTATAAATACTTCAAGGGTGGGTGTCAGGAGGATGGGGCCAGGCTTTTTTCAGTGGTGCCCAGTGACAGGACAAGAGGGAACGGGCACAAACTTGAGTATAAGAAGTTCCACCTAAACATGAGGAGGAACTTCTTGACTTTGAGGGTGGCAGAGCCCTGGCAGAGGCTGCCCAGGGAGGTGGTGGAGTCTCCTTCTCTGGAGACATTCAAACCCCACCTGGCCACGTTCCTGTGGGACCTGCTCTGGGTGGCCCTGCTGTGGCAGGGGATTGGAGATGATCTCCAGAGCTCCCTTCCAACTCCATGTCATTCTGTGAAATCAGTTTCTCAAACTCAGTAACAGAAAAGGAGGAGGTTGGGAGCTGGGGTGGGACGGGCAGAGCGTTCCTGGTTCGGGAGGGTGCTGGGGCCTGCTCTGGGTTGAGCTTATGGTGGGGCAGGGAGAGGGGACAGGTTTCCTGGCTGGGCCGAGTGGCTGTTCCAGGGGTGTAGGGATGAAAATCCCCCAGGGTAATCCCGCCTTTTCAAGAAGGATAAATCTGGGATTAGCTGCCCGAGATGGTTAAGGCAGCAGCCTGTTGCATAACTGGTGGTGAATGGCAGGTCCTGCCCGTCCCCTCGGGAAGGGATGGATGGAGCCCCAGGTGCTCTCAAAGGGACTCTCCGCGCTCCCCGGGCTGTTCCTCCTCCTGGGGGCAGGAATGGTTTCCTCCCGGCTTTTCTCCCTTCAGGCTGAAGACCCACCATGCCCAGCGGCTCGTGAGGAAGAGGAGGAGGTGGTGCGTGTGCTGACTCTGCCTCTGCAGGCCCATCACGCCATGGAGAAGATGGAAGAGTTTGTGTATAAGGTACAGGAGCCTGGTGCCATGCCCCAATCCTGATTTTTGGAGTATTTTGGAGGGGCTGCTCCCGGGAGTGGTTGTGGGAAGGGGATGGGGGTGACTGGGAAGGACTGGTGGGTGCTGGAGGTTGTGCCCAGACCTGGGGAGCAGCCCCGGTGTCTCTGCATTCCTTTAACGGGGACTGGGAGCACCAAGCACCCTTGCTGGTTTTACTGGGTGCCAGTGCCCGCGGTCACCGTGGTTTGGTGAGCGGTGACACCGGCCGGCCCGGTTCTTTTGCCAACTGGGACTCCCTCTGCCCTGATCCAAACGGGAGGGAATTCCCTGCTGCAGGGAACAGTTACTTCGGATGCCAAAGGGTTAAACCTGAGGGTGCAAATGGGCTCTGGCTGCCTGGGGGGGCCGTGTGGGGCACGCTCAGCGGGATGTGGGGCGCGCTCAGCGGGATGGGGGTGGCTTAAGGGGTTCCTGGTGTCGCAAGAGCTGAACTTCCTCTCCCTGGAGCCTCACGGGGCGTTTGCAGCCTGGGCTGGGCTCGTTCCTCCTGTGACTTCAGGCTCCTGGAGGGAGTAGATGTGAGCCCTCTGGGTGGCTTGTTGCTCTGGGGGGGCCACTAGCCCGGGTTGGTGTGTTGCAGGTGTGGGAAGGGCGCTGGCGCGTCATCCCCTACGACGTGCTGCCCGACTGGCTGAAGGACAACGATTACCTCCTGCACGGCCACCGGCCTCCCATGCCCTCCTTCCGAGCCTGCTTCAAGAGCATCTTCCGAATACACACCGAGACAGGCAACATCTGGACCCACTTGCTAGGTGACTGCAGGAGGGGGGGGGTTGGTAGCCTCAAGAGCATCTTCCGAATACACACCGAGACGGGCAACATCTGGACCCACCTGCTAGGTGACTGCAGGAGGGGGTTTGGTGGCTCACGGGGCTTGTCCCTCACTCACAAGGGTGGCTTTTTATGGCCAGGAATGGCCTGGTGGTGTGTCCAGTTCTGGGCTTCCCGGTTCCAGGACAGGGAACTGCTGGAGAGGGGACAGCAGAGGGCTACAGAGATGATGAAGCATCTCCCTTATGAGGAAAGGCTGAGGGACTTGGGGCTTTTTAGTCTGGAGAAGAGAAGGCTGAGGGGGGATCTGATCAACACCTATAAATACTTGGGGGGGGGGTGTCAGGAGGATGGGGCCAGGCTTTTCTCAGTGGTGCCCAGGGACAGGACAAGAGGAAATGGGCACAAAATTGAGGATAAGAAGTTCCATCTCAACATGAGGAGGAACTTCTTGACTTTGAGGGTGGCAGAGCCCTGGCAGAGGCTGCCCAGGGAGGTGGTGGAGTCTCCTTCTCTGGAGACATTCAAACCCCACCTGGCCACGTTCCTGTGGGACCGTCTCTGGGTAGACCTGCTCTGGCAGGAGGCTGGAGGAGATGATCTCCAGAGGTCCCTTCCAAGCCCATGTCATTCTGTGATTCCATGCTCTCCGTGCCCTGGGATCACCTGCCCCTGCCTGCTCCTGTGCAGGGAGCTGCCCGTGAGGTCCCTGGAGCTCCTTGGGGGAGGAGAGATGGGGGCTTTTCCTCACAGCAGGGGCCCTGGGCCAGGCTCAGCCACCGTTTGTGGCTTGGCCAACGCTCTGCAAGAGTGGGACAGAGAAATATGTCCTGGGCAAGATAAGAAATCCTCAGAGCATGTTCCTCTGAAACCCAGGGGCGGTCGGTGGCTCCTCACCCTGTACCTGACCATGCCCTCTCCCCCAGGGCTCTGTTTTGGCTTTCCTTCTCCCTGACCATCCTTTCGGTGTGTTCCCTGCAGGTTTTGTCTTGTTTCTCTGCCTGGGGATCCTGACCATGCTGCGGCCCAACATGTATTTCATGGCTCCTCTCCAGGAGAAGGTGGTGTTTGGGATGTTCTTCCTGGGAGCCGTGCTGTGCCTCAGCTTCTCCTGGCTTTTCCACACCGTCTACTGTCACTCGGAAAAGGTCTCGAGGACTTTTTCGAAGTGAGTCAGCACGAGTGGTGGTTCTGTGGCCTCCCAAGGAAGGTTTTGAGTTGTCTCAGAGCTTCCTCTTGGAAAGCTCTGCCTTCCCAAGGGTTTGGTCCCTGGGGAAAGGGAGCGGTCACCGAATCCGGTGTGGAATTGAGAGGGAACCACAGCTGGGCCCTGCAGGGCTCTGTCCTGTGCCCCAGCACCTTAAATCCACCGCTGAAACGCTGAGGTGGATGATAAAGACCCAGGGGAACGCCCTTTGTTCCCCCCGGGGTGGGGGGGTGAGTTGAGGAGGGGTCTCGCTTTCAGGAGAAAGGGGGCGGTTTGGCAGTTTCCTGGCTGCTTTTAAAAAAAAAACAACCAAAAAAACAAACCACACGTTGGTTTGGATCCAATTTGGATTGAAACCAAATGGAAAGAAAACAAACAGGATTCCCGGCAAAATGGAAAGGCTGGGCAGGGGCCAGTGCCTCTCCCCGAGGGCTCCTGGGGCTCAGAGCAGAGCAGCAGCCGGGCTTTCGCGTGAGATCTGTCCGAGGGCCTTGATTTGGGTGGGTTTTGCTGGGAAATGCCGTCCCTCTCCTTTGCACAAACCCCAGATCTCCTGCAGAACACGCGGTGCCCTGGGCAGAGCTGTCCTTGCCCGTGGGGGGAGGCGCTGGCCGCGGCCGTGGGGGAAACGCCGGCGGCTGCTTTCGGTGCCGACGCGGTTCCTGGATCGATGGATTGAAAGCACTTTGTGGTGGAGGAGGAGGAACAGTCCAATCCAAACGTGCAGGGACTCGTGTCCTGTGGTGGGGTTTGAGGGCGCAGCCCCTCGTAGCCACCCGCCTCCTCTTTGTCCCCCGAGCGCTGCCGGCGTCCCCAGGAGCCACCTTCATGCCCAGGCCCTTTCTCCTCTCCCAAATCGTGTCGATGAGACCCAGGATTCTCCCTCTGTGGACTCTCAGCTTCACCCGTGGGGTTGGGGCACAGACAGGCTGGGGGGCACCAACACTGTTACCCAGAGGACACCAAGAGCTGGGGAGGGGTTGGATTTTGGGGGTTCACCTGTTGACTCTCCGTCGTTCCACCCCGGCTGCAGGTTGGATTATTCAGGAATTGCACTGCTGATCATGGGGAGCTTCGTCCCGTGGCTCTACTATTCCTTCTACTGCTCCCCTCAGCCAAGACTCATCTACCTCTCCATCGTCTGCGTCCTGGGCATCTCCGCCATCATCGTCGCGCAGTGGGACCGCTTCGCCACCCCCAAGCACAGGCAGACGAGGGCAGGTACGAGTTCTCCCTCCTCTGAGTCCCCAGCCCCAGGAGGGACTTCACAGAATCCCATGGGGATGGAAGGGACCTCTGGAGATCATCTCCTCCAACCCCCTGCCAGAGCAGGGCCACCCAGAGCAGGTCCCACAGGAACGTGTCCAGGTGGGGTTTGGATGTCTCCAGAGAAGGAGACTCCACCACCTCCAGGTCCAGGGTTGTAGAAAAGTGGAACAAGAAGGCATTAATTTGGCTTCTTCAAGCGAAAACGGCACCAAAAGGACACCAATGTGCTGAATTCACTCTGGTTCCTGTTGCCTTCAGCGCTGTTGCAGCCATGGCAGCTTTGGGGTGAGGGAAGGAGCAGAGACAGGGCTCAGAGACAGGGCTGAGACCAGGAGAAGAATCACAGAATGATAAGGGGTTGGAAGGGACCTCTGGAGATCATCTCCTCCAACCCCCTGCCAGAGCAGGTCCACCCAGAGCAGGTCCCACAGGAACGTGTCCAGGTGGGGTTGGAATGTCTCCAGAGAAGGAGACTCCACCACCTCCCTGGGCAGCCTCTTCCAGGGCTCTGCCACCCTCAAAGTGATGAAGTTCCTTCTCATGTTTAGGTGGATCTCCTTATATTCAAGTTTGGGAAGGTCCTGTTGGGGGTGGGTGGCTCTTCCCATTTGGGGACCTGCAGGGTGAGTTCCCCCGGAGCGCTACGGCAGCTCCTGGCAGGGAGAGGCTCCTTCCTCCCTGGGGGGTTAGATCCTCCCCCGAGCAGAGCCCGAGCTCCACCTGGCATTCACCAAACCCGAGGTTTGGGACAGACGGACGACGTTCATCAATCTCCCTGTGAGCGGTGTCCGGGTGCCCCGGGGCTGTTCCGCACGGAGCCGCCTCCTCTGGGAAGGAGTTTGTGGCAGAATGAACCCGCAGCTCGGGTGGGGGAGGAAGAGATTCCCTCCTCTCTCCCCTGCCCATTCCACACTGGCACCTTCCTGCCTCCCTGGAGGCTGCGGGGAGAGGCTGCCCTGATCCCGCTCCGCTGCGGACACAACCAGCGGAGAAACCCCTCTGCCCGCCCTCCCCTTCCCCCCCGGGGGGGTCCTGCAGCAAACAGCTCTGGTAAAGGCATCCTTGTTACCTGGGGAGAGATGACGCTGAGCTGGAGGCTGAGCCCCCTGGGAGGGAGGGCAGGGGACAAGGGGGGGCCTCCCTCCAGCCCCCAAACCCCCCCCTGGCTGCAGGAGCCAAGAGACGGCGCTGGCTGGAGCCAGATCCTGTGGCCAGTCCAAGCCGCAGCCGCTCCGGTGTCTCGCAGCGGTGCCGTTTGCTCTCTGCCAAACTAATTAGATGCCAGAGCTGAAAATTTCAGCGCTGCTAATTAGCAGCTTCCCCTCAAGCTCCAGGCAGCTTCAGCCAACAAACGATTCCAGCACAGCCCCTCCTGGCAGGGCTCTGGGGCTGCTGCTCCCCCCGCGCCGGCTGGAGCACCGAGGGGCTGGCACCGTCCCCAAGGGATGTTCCCTGTGGCTGTACTGGGAACACAGTGAGCCCTGCCCAGTCAGCACTGGTTTTGACTGGGACGTCGAGCTGTAGATGACTCATTTTTTGAAGGATAGATGCCTTGGCAGAGAAGAACCTAATAAGGTTCAACAAGGGTCCTGCACCTGGGGAGGAAGAACCTCAGACACCAGTAGAGGTTGGGGGTGGACCTGGTGGGAAGCAGCTCTGAGGAGAAGGATCTGGGAGTCCTGGTGGATGGGAAACTTTCCATGAGCCAGCAATGGGTCACACCTGGGGAGGAAGAACCTCAGACACCAGTAGAGGTTGGGGGTGGACCTGGTGGGAAGCAGCTCTGAGGAGAAGGGTCTGGGGGTCCTGGTGGATGGGAAACTTTCCATGAGCCAGCAATGGGTCATTGTGGCCAAGAGGGCAATGGGATCCTGGGCTGTATAGGGAGGAGTGTGGCCAGGAGGTGGAGGGAGGTCATTCTCCCCCTCTGCTCTGCACTGGGGAGGCCACAACTGGAATCCTGCCCCCAGTTCTGGGCTCCCCAGTTCAAGAGGGACAGGGAACTGCTGGAGAGAGTCCAGCGAATGGCAACAGAGATGATGGAGGGATTGGAGCATCTCCCTGAGGAGGAAAGGCTGAGAGAGCTGGGGCTCTTTAGTCTGGAGAAGAGAAGGCTGAGGGGAGACCTTATTAAATATCTCAAGGGTGGGTTGAAGGAGGATGGAGCCAGACTCTTTTCAGTGGTTCCCAGTGACAGGACGAGGGGCAACGGGCACAAGCTGGACCATGGGAAGTTCCACTCAAATATGAGGAAGAACTTCTTGACTTTGAGGGTGATTGAGCCCTGGCAGAGGCTGCCCAGGGAGGGTGTGGAGTCCCCTTCTCTGGAGATCTTCAATCCCCACCTGGATGCTCCTGAGTGATGTGCTCTGGGCAGCCCTGCTTTGGCAGGGAGTTGGACTGGATGGGCTCTAGAGGTCCCTTCCAACTCTGACAATTCCCTGATTCCATGAAAAGCTGCTGTTGGCAGGGGGAGGAGGGGACGAGGGGGGCGATGGGGCTTTGCTGATCTCTCCTCTCGGCCGCAGGCGTCTTTCTGGGGCTGGGGCTGAGCGGGGTGGTGCCCACCATGCACTTCACCATCGCCGAGGGCTTCGTCAAAGCCACCACCGTGGGCCAGATGGGCTGGTTCTTCCTCATGGCCGTCATGTACATCACGGGCGCGGGGCTCTACGCCGCCCGCATCCCCGAGCGCTTCTTCCCGGGCAAGTTCGACATCTGGGTGAGTTTGGGGCGAGCGTGGGGTGAGCGTGGGGGGCTGGGGAGGGGATGGAAGGGGATGAGCTCCGAGGTGAGGAGGAGGAGGAGGACGTTGGGGTTGTCCTGCTGCGCCCCAACACACATCATGCAGCTGGACCTTGACCAGCTGCTGCCAACAGGCAAAGTCCAGGGTGGAAAACTCCCCCGAGGAGCGAGGAGGAGCAGAGCTCACAGTCCTGGGGCGGTGCAGAAGCAGCGAGGAGGAGGAAGAGGGAGGAAGAAGAGGTGTTCCTGGTGTTACTTTGTCCCTTTGGGTCGGTTCTAAAGGGTTTTTTTTTTTCCTTCCCCACAGTTTCAGTCCCATCAGATCTTCCACGTGCTGGTGGTGGCCGCGGCCTTTGTCCACTTCTACGGGGTGTCCAACCTGCAGGAGTTTCGCTACGGACTGGAAGGGGGGTGCACAGACGACTCCCTGCTCTGAGAGAGACACACACCCCCCCGACACACACACACACACACACCCCCTTTTAGTACAAGCTTCCTAAGTGCTTTTTAAACTCTTTTTTGTCTTTGCTAAAATCAAAGGAAGACTCAAAACCGTTTGGGGCCGCTGGTTGGGTTTTGGTTGTTTTTTTTTTTTTTTTAAGAAAAGAAAAAAACCAGAAAAATTCTTTAGCATTATTGACCAAATCCTCACCCACAACCCCCCCGCCCCGTCCCTTGCCACGCGCTTCACGGGGGCTGAGGGGGGAGGCGAGGGGGCCCCCGGGAGTGCT